GTGCATACCCCGAATTGGGACACAGCACGTGAGTGAGAAAGGTGACTGAAGGAGAAATACTCAATGCATCATGGGAATCCCCCAGCAACCTACACCGATTGCAGCATAACTAAGGGAGGATTCAAGGTCACCTGATCCACCGCTAACTCTATGAGGCAGATTCATGCCCATATAAATGCCTGAATAAATTCCAAAATGAGTAATGAGTATATCAAAGTATCGATATGGTGGTTCCTGCTAAAGTACAGTGTATACACACATACACATACACAGTGAATTTCTTAAATGATTGGAAACTTGCTGCCTCAGTATTAACTTGGTTGTCTAAATTTGTCCTCCAAACACACAGGATGCTTTTGTTTGCAGTTTGTTAGCTTTCATTAGTTCTTACACAAGGAAGCTTGTAGAAACAACAGAGAGCAAAGGACAGCCGCAGATAAGAAGAAGATTTACGCTACTGACCTTCTAGTATGTACTGACCTTCTACCACTCCCCCAGACTCCCCTCCATCCTCCCATCCTTCCCTTCTTTCTCTCCTCCTCTACTATAAATCACCTCACTCATTCATTAGGTCAGTGTCAGGGCTGTAACGCCCACTGAGCCTGAAGGAAGAGGGGCCGGCTGCCCGAGAGCACAGAACCACCGACTGAAAGAGGAAGGATTGAAAGAAAGGGGATGGCGTCGTTAAAAGCCACATTCCCATCTTCCACAATACAACACACCAATTTCCATGTTAATTTGCTTTGTGACAGCAGAGATGGATGTTAGTGACTGGCTGGTTGATGGGATGCAGCAATAGAAGAGTTCAAATGAAGCTATTAAGGAGGCTGCTAGTTCTCTGAAAGTAGGACGTGTGTGTTGTTTGTATATGTGAGGGAATATTTAACATTTAGGGGAAGTTGCAAAATGATCAATATTTCACCCCCATGTATTTTTTAACCATTTAACTGTTTAGAAGCCTAATATTCACAGTCTTACTGTACCAGACAAAAGCAAACGACAGACAAAACACTAAGAAATGGGAAATGGCATGAAAGAAAGAAAAAGAATGAAAGCTGTGAGCTATTTTTCACATGACATTATGGAAATATGAGGGTTTTAGAGGACGCAGCAAGTAAATATGAAAGCGTGGATGCATGTGTTGTTGTTGTACTGTACAGCAGCTTTGAAAGTGAGGACATGTCCTATATGGAAAAGAAATAGAAAAAACCTATAAAAGACTTGGATCAGACTTCATATAGTGAGTCATATAAGGCTTATATGATTTACTCATGAAAGTGGCCACTTTCATATATTGTTTTAGGAAGTATCCAGAACATACAAGTTTACTTATATCTGTTTTCACTCTTGTATGCTTTTCATACAAGTTTCACACAAGACAGATACAAACTTTATACGATTTATATATATCTTTTCCATATGAGGTGTCAGCGAGGGTACTCACAAAGATAGAAACGTGTGCGTGTGTGCACGAGTGTAGCGGTGTGACTGACAGAGCAATCTTGAAACACACCACCCATATGGCTGCCATTGATTTCCAGTTAATTGAATGATTACCACTTTAGCATGCACCACCACAGCCAACCTCTGCTGTCAATCAGCACGAGTGCGTCGCTGCCACCTGAGCTGCTGTCTGTGCAACAGCGAGAGCAGGTTTACATCTCACACGTGCAAACGCTGTAGCTGGTGTGTGTTGCCCCAGGCACATGCTGCTTATGAAAGCAACTTACCAAATCAATATGCGGTGAGTGTGCTGTATGATTCGAAAATGTACTTTTGGGTGATTACTGTGCTAGTATTATTGCTATGCCTATTTTCTCCTTACGTTAGGTTCCATTTGTGTCGTGTGTACATTCTCTTTTACTGTGCTGTTTTTTATGACTGTAAATGAATCAATAAAGCTCCACTGTATTGTTTAAGCTCTCTGTCCTGTAACTGGATCCAAATGTGGCTATGGATTCAAACTGAGGATTTAGACATAATCTGGTAATACAAATACGTGTGACACAAATGGTAGTCTCATATCCCACGATGCTTGATAGGCAGCTAAAGTAAAACAATTAGAAATCCAGCAAATAAAACTCTGTGTCTACACGTCTGGTCTTAGAATGGTAATTATCCATTTGTTAAAATAAAATAACAGACTACAGGGAAGGGATACTGTAAATCTACATGTGTGTGTGTGTGTGTGTGTATGGTTACAGGCCATGTGTAATGTGGGTCATTGGTTTGCTGACATGCTATATAAAGCTGGTATTTTGACATGGGTCAAAATCTGTGATGCACAAATCCCAAAGGCAGTGTGCCTGTGTGTGTGTGTGAATGTGAGCTAATAAGACAAGAAAACATACAGTAGGCTTTGATTCATTACTATGTAAGTAGTGTGTGGTCTGTTCTACCAGGAAATGTGTGCCTGCGCTGCTCAGTGGAGCTGGGGGCTTCATGTAGAAAACATATGGTCTTTAGAGAGGGAGACAGATGAAGGATAATCCCTTTGGCAGTCTAGCACAAACACACACACACACACACACACAATCTAGTCCTGCATATGTGTGCTTTGTGAGTTTAACACCGTTTAAAGCTTGGTCCTCGAAAGTCTGCTTTTTGTCTTAATTACTTGTTTTTTCAGCCTGCTTTAGCTCGCTGCTCTGCTGCACTTTATCTGACAGTAAATCAAGCAGGCTGACACAAGAAGAGCTCCAGCTCCTTCCTTTTAGATTTTAGGATGGAACTAAAGAGCCTTCCCCATTCTTTGCATAAAGGAAACACTATAAATGACCCCTGTGCCTCATGCCCCACACTTTTTTCTTCATACTCCACACATTAATTCTGATCCCGACGCACTTGCTACTGTGCAGCTTAGAAATGGAACAGACAGCAAAACGGCTCTTAGCGTTCTGCAGTCCCAGTTTGATTTGACCAGGGCAACACAGGCGTGGGTTACATTTGAAAAAGCAAATAAAAGGAGCACGCTGTGATTTGTGGCTCTATTGACTCATCCAGAACTCAAAGTCGTTGAGGAAATCCAATTCCTCGTCAACTAAGCTGAACTTTGACTGAAACATCAAGTCAAAATGCTGCAATATAATCTCCACAATCTCCAGCGAGACACCACAGGAAGAGTGAGGGAGAGTTAAAAATTACACTCTTCCTGTTCCCGTCTAAACACAGACATATTAAGCTTTAATTATTCTCTCCAGTGGCTTTGTAATTAGAAGCCAATATCAGGTAGAGCAGCATTATTGGTTACTCAAGCCAAACAGATGAGTTCTATACATCACCCTTCCTGCTCTGCACAGCTATGAAGAACAGCAGGAGGTCAATTAAAAATCCAGCCCACAGGCCAAAGAGGGGCAGTCTGAAGTTAGCCAACTCACACTCAGGCTGCTCAAATTTCTGATGACTAAGAACCAATTCACGGAGTCGTCATATGACTGAGAACATGCACACAGCAAGACTTTTAGTGTTTGTAATGTGTCTGTGAACAGGAATCAATAAGGGAAGCCATAAACAGAATCAATAATGGTACTGGTACAATTTCATCGATATACTATTTAAAGAGCATATGAAGATCATTTTAGCTTGATTTGTTACTACTAGTGTCAAAGGAAAAGCAGCTTCAGTGAAATATTGTTGAGTAGAAAAATGATTTTATTTCACAACTTATTCTTGTGGCTTTCAATCAATAAAATTACTTTATTCCAAACTATAAAACCATCTGCAATGTAATGTGAACAAAATAAAATTCAAAATACAAGTACATTTCTGCTAGAATTAGTGAAATACCTGCATATATAAAAGGATAAACTATGCACGCAGCATTTTCATTTCAAATACTTCAAATCTTACTACAGTTCCAGGTATTTGGTGATAAAAGGTTAACTCGATTAATTACTTTAACTTTTAATCCTAGCTCTGTACCTACAGCTTATTGCAAACAGGGTTTATAAAAACAACAATAAACTCAGGACATGCAGTGTCTTGGATTTCTTTAAATAATATTTGCTTAATATGCTGCATTTTATACTTCAGCACCAAATAAAATGTCCTGCAAAAAATACAGACGTGCTGAGAGGGAACCTCCAGCACAGGATCTCTGCCTAATGACTGCTTTCTGACCATCTCTCTGGCCTTTTCAAAACACACTGGGTGAGAATATCCTGAGGGAAGTATCTCATTATTGTTTCTCTAATGAGCGGAAAGGATGTAGAGAAGGAAAAAAGAGAACTTCTTCGACTCTGTGGAAGTCATTTCAAGGATGCTACCCTGAGAGAAGTGGGGAGAAGTATTTAAAAAAAGAGAGGCATGCATCTACCTGCAAATGTGTCCCAAACATATACAGTATGAGCTATATGAAACTAGATCAGACAGAAACAAAAATAAAAACCTGAATAAACGCAACCGCGTAACTGTTACCAACATTTCTGAGAACGTGAATGGATCAGTGTCTGTCCCTTGGTCTTGGGAGGTGTGTCTGCAGCTCTTAAACTTCAGCTGTGGTAGTTCAGTCACCATTGTAGCAGAGTCCCTAACTGTTGAAGGGTCTGGTGTTTCTCCCAGGATAGTGTTCTGAGTACTGGGCCTCCATTTCCTCCATCCAGGCCATGCTCCAGTCCCACGCAGAAACAGGCTCCAGTTCGCCGAATGAGTCGCCTTCTGCATGGGAAGATGGGTACAAGGCGCTGAGGGGGGAGGCAGGCGGAGAGAAATCTAAACACAGGAGAGGACAACATGTTGACATTTCAATATCAAGCATGTGTCTGTGTGTGCGCGCGTGAAACTCTATTTGCCTTCGGAGAAGCAAGAGTAAACATTTCGAGCCCTCTGAGGAGCACCTTTCATGATGATTCTCAGGGCTGAAACGAACATTTCGAAGCGTCTTTGAAGCAGCAGTTTGTCCCTGAAAAATCAACTTTTCTAATTTGTTTGAGGCTCTGAAGCAAACCAAGCCAATTCACACCAACCACTTTGTGCAGTCCAGTGGTAGCAACAAATTTCAAAGAGCTCCGAGCTCACGTCCAGAAACAAAACACAAAAATGACGCTGAAGCCTTGAAGCTATACAGGCTCTGCCAATTAATGTGAGAGTGTGAAAGTGCACCAATCTGTGACAAGCCTCTTCCTGCTGTTTTCTTAGGATTAATCCACACTGTACCCTTCAAGCTAGGTCTCAGATAAGTACACTGAACCTGCGTGCGCACTTAACTGCACAGACTTTTTTTTTTATTGGTAACTGTAAAGCAAAATATTTTAAATGTTACTGAAAAAACAACTGATAGGATGTCCTGAACACCCAGAAAATTTCACTTGACATACAATAAAATGAACCCATGACCTGATTCCATCATTGCACAAATGTTAAAAATGGGTACGGTTTGGTGTCAGCTGGCTGCATGTGATCCACAGCTTGGTACTCAAAGTAACTCAGAGTAATTGCGAGGGAACATAATCAGCTGCAGAGAAGCCACTTCAAGAGTTTTCATACTCTGTGAGAGTGTGAAAATCAGCCAAGGCAGAACGTTGCCAAAAGTGAGTTTAGTGAGTGGAATAAAGCTGCACGGACCCCGGAGGAGGGCAGGGTGACTGATGAGTTGATAAAGAGGGAAGTAGATGACTCATCTGGAGGTTCAATCTGCTGAAAGGTCCCTAAGTAATTGCCTGGTGCCACTAGATATTAGACTGAATGAGTTTTTGTCTTTGCACAGGGGGCACATGGACCAAAGCAGAAAGTCTGCTCAGACACGTTTCTGCACACAGTGAGACATCAGAAATATACAAAGAAGGCCAGAGAGGCCAAGCTACTTCCACAAAGCATTTTCACAACATTGCAACCCTCCATACCAACTTAGGGCTGCTCTGCCTTACCATTGAGCATCTTTCATAGATGAAAGGCCCCATCTAGTGGGGGAAAGTGGTAAGTACAACAGCGTTAGTGGTTTTGCGCTTGTTTGTTTTCATCCATTCCAATAGTGACTAAAAGCAGCAGCTCACAGCTTTGTTTATGTCGCATGAAAAATCAGTGATTCTGCACATGGAACCTGAACTTTTGTGCTATGAGACAACAGCTTATCAGCTGGCAACTACACTTTATCATTTCAAAGTTCAAAGTGTTTTTTTAGTAACTGAATCATTTTCTCTTTGTTTATTTATCATTCATAAATAAATAATAATACTCCAAAGGATAGAGCAGTTTATGAGGAGTCACTGGTAGGAATGAACTAAACCGAACCAACGAAGAGTTACACACTTGCTAACAACACTTGTCAGTGTATTGAGACACTGCTCTGTATAAGTTCTGTGTGCTACAGGGCTCCACTGTGCCTCAGGAGTTACACTTGACCGTCTATTATTTTGAAGGTCTGTAGTTTGATCCCCTGTTTCCTCAAGTCCACATGCTAAAATGAGACACACACTTCTTAGAGTGTGTGCGTCTAATAATTAGCAAAAGCTTAGGGCATAGACTAAAGTGCTAAATGAATGAATGAACTAAAAAGTACGACATAAACATGAGTCTGTTTATCCTTTAGTAAAA